GGAGATGGTGTGTTGCCGGCAAAAGGACATCCTGTGGAGGAGGAAACAGACGGGACTCACCAGGAGGACCCCACGCACCAGCACCAGGCTCTCGAGGGCCACCACCACCGGCACAGAGAGGATGCTGGAGTACCGTAGCGGGTGGCAAATAGCGACGTAGCGATCCAAGGCCATGGCCATGAGCACGCCCGACTCCACCGAGGAGAAGGTATGGATGAAGAACAACTGAGCAAGGCAGCAGACAAAGCCAATCTCCCCGGAGCCCAGCCAAAAGATGCCAAGCATTTTGGGGAGTGTGGATGTTGTTAGGATAAGGTCAGTGAAGGCCAGCATGGCCAGGAAGAGGTACATGGACTCGTGCAGGCTTGGATCTGCCTTTATAATGAAGAGAAGGGTGATGTTCCCCAGCACAGCAATGACATACATGACGCAGAAGGGGAAGGCAATCCAGAACTGCTCCCTCTCCAGCCCAGGGATGCCAACGAGTAGGAAATAGGGAGGGTGGGAGAAGGCAGTAGAATTCAGAGACATGAAGCCCTTCTTGACTCTTGCCTACACTGAGGGCTCTTGTGTCCTGTAAAAAAAAAGCACCAAACAGCCTCGACCTGATCTGGTCAGTGGCAAACAGAGACTGGCATGAGCTTCGGTCCAGAAGCCCCAGTTCCCCATGCAGCCATCCATCCCAGCGACAGCTGCTTGCACTGGTTTGGGAGAGAACTTTTGAAGCAAGTGTCCTGCCAGTTTCCACTGGAAGTGCTCCATGTGGTGGAGTGGTCCTGGAGCAGACAGACTGGGTTCCTCCTGGATCAGACTGAACGGAAAGACTGCCTGAGGTGCACACCTGATACTTCTCCAGTGTCCGAAGGGTGTCCAGCCTAGGAGACCAGACGTAAGCTGGTCTGAAGTTAAACCTTCTTGAAATGTGTCTGGTGGAGATGTGAGGTCATTGCCACCAGCCCTAGAGCTCTGCAGAAGCTTTTAACAGCACCCCGCTCCTTGCCAGCCTAAACCAAGGCAACAAGTGCTTGCCTCAGGTAAGAAACATCCAATTTCAGGGCAAAAAACCTGAGCCAGTGCTGCAATATTTGATCCCCCTCCAACCTCCAAACACTGCGCTCTAGTGATGTCCATTCTGTCCCCCCAAAACAGACTGTCTCTCGCTCAGCCCCTGCACATTGCCCATGTTTTTTTCCCTAATACATGGGGAAAAGCATTCCTTGAAGAGCCCTGCAGCACAGATTAAGCCAATGTTCCTGATAAGACCCTTCAGAGACCTTCCTGCGTCCAACTGCACTTGTGCTGGGGAGCAGAGGGATGGAGGAGACAATAAAGAGCAGGTTCCCAGAAGGGAGCTGAGCTTTTCCTCCCCAGGATCCCAGTGCTGAGCTGGCTCCAGCACCAGGCTCTGCTCCCGTTCCATCTGGAGAGAGCTTTCACATCTCAACCACCCCACCCCATCCCAGCCTGGCCACCAGCCACCAGCTGGAGCTGGACTGTTGGGGCTGTGCTCGAAACCTTACAAATATGTGTGGCTTGGGGTCACCTGCACTCTGGGAGAGATTTCCTGGTTGGGTTTTTTGGAGGGGAATGGAAATTCCTGATATTTTCAGCATTCCTTGAAGAGCCCTGCAGCACAGATTAAGCCAATGTTCCTGATAAGACCCTTCAGAGACCTTCCTGCGTCCAACTGCACTTGTGCTGGGGAGCAGAGGGATGGAGGAGACAATAAAGAGCAGGTTCCCAGAAGGGAGCTGAGCTTTTCCTCCCCAGGATCCCAGTGCTGAGCTGGCTCCAGCACCAGGCTCTGCTCCCGTTCCATCTGGAGAGAGCTTTCACATCTCAACCACCCCACCCCATCCCAGCCTGGCCACCAGCCACCAGCTGGAGCTGGACTGTTGGGGCTGTGCTCGAAACCTTACAAATATGTGTGGTTTGGGGTCACCTGCATTCTGGGAGAGATTTCCTGGTGGGGTTATTGGAGGGGAATGGAAATTCCTGATATTTTCCTTTCTTCATTCCACCTCTTTCCTCCCATCTGCCTCCATTGGTGCTGCTTTGCCTAAAACTTCATTTTTCCATGGAAAACACCGGGGCAGGGAACACAATTCCCAGGCCAAGGCAGTGGGAGACACAGGAGCATGTCTGCAAAGCTCCATGAACTGGGGGCTGTTCAGCACTTGCTGCTGCTGCCCAGGAGGAGCCACAGCACAAAAAGGGCTTATTGTCAAGCAACAAATTGCTGCCCAAACCCTAAATACTCACCCGCCTCCTGCAGGTTTCTTCACAGGGACTCTGTGCTGCAGAGACCAGGAGATATTTATCTGTCTGACGGATAAATCCCAGCAGGGAGCTCTGCACTTCCCCTGCTACTGAACATGTAATTAGAGAGAGAGAAGGAGACAGCTTTTAACCCCCTCAACGCTGACATTCTCATAGACACAGCTGCTTTTTGCCCAGTTTTGTGTCTGTTTTCTTGCAGTGTGTTTATTTGGAGGAGACTTAAGCGTAGTTCAAGATTAAATCACAGGACTGATTTCAGACTAGATTTAAGGAAGAGATTCTTTGCTGTGAAGGTAGTGAGACCCTGGCCCAGATTGCCCAGAGAAGCTGTGGCTGCTCCATCCCTGGAAACATTCCAGGCCAGGTTGGACAGGGCTTGGAGCAACCTGGTCTAGTTGAAGATGTCCCTGCTCATGGTAGGGGGTGGGACTAGGTGGCCTTTAAAGGTCCCTTCCAACCCAAACCATTCTGTGACTCTGTGATCCTGTGCCAAATCTTTGGCAATACCAATGTTAATTAAAAAGCAAGGCATGCAAATAACGCCCCCCCTTCCATTATTGGGGAACCATATCAAACCCCAAGGCAGCCTACTGAGGGAGTCTGGGAGAGCAGAAATGCCAGAGTGTGCAAAGATGCTGGGTCCCAGGTCCAGTCCTGGGAATGTTTGGAGGGAGAAAGAAGAGAAGAGAAGAGAAGAGAAGAGAAGAGAAGAGAAGAGAAGAGAAGAGAAGAGAAGAGAAGAGAAGAGAAGAGAAGAGAAGAGAAGAGAAGGAGAATAATACTTTAATGTCTTCCAGGAGATCTCCAGCAACTGCTCCAGCCCCATGCAACTCCTCATTGCCACCTCCAGGCTCATGTGACTACCTGTCCTCTCCCCACCACAGTGCAAACTACACCTCCATCCCATCCTTCCCTCCCTCCATCTCCTTGTCCCATCCCTTCCCTTTTCAGTCTCTTCTGCAACTGAACCAGGCTCTTTCCTCACCTTCCTGGAGCGGGGTGGGCCCCAGATAAGTTGGTCCATCCCCATCTCTGGCTCTTCGCCCTGTTCATGGAGGAGATGTGGGTTCAGATGTCCCATGCTCTGGTTGGCGTTTTCCTTCTGCTGCAGGGCAGAGGTGGCCTGGGGCCTCAGCCATGGACATTTCAGATGGAAAATGGTTGTTGTAGTCACCAACAAAGACACACATTGAGGAAGATGGGACTAGGTGGCCTTTAAAGGTCCCTTCCAACCCAAACCATTCTGTGACTCTGTGATCCTGTGCCAAATCTTTGGCAATACCAATGTTAATTAAAAAGCAAGGCATGCAAATAACGCCCCCCCTTCCATTATTGGGGAACCATATCAAACCCCAAGGCAGCCTACTGAGGGAGTCTGGGAGAGCAGAAATGCCAGAGTGTGCAAAGATGCTGGGTCCCAGGTCCAGTCCTGGGAATGTTTGGAGGGAGAAAGAAGAGAAGAGAAGAGAAGAGAAGAGAAGAGAAGAGAAGAGAAGAGAAGAGAAGAGAAGAGAAGAGAAGAGAAGAGAAGAGAAGAGGAATAATACTTTAATGTCTTCCAGGAGATCTCCAGCAACTGCTCCAGCCCCATGCAACTCCTCATTGCCACCTCCAGGCTCATGTGACTACCTGTCCTCTCCCCACCACAGTGCAAACTACACCTCCATCCCATCCTTCCCTCCCTCCATCTCCTTGTCCCATCCCTTCCCTTTTCAGTCTCTTCTGCAACTGAACCAGGCTCTTTCCTCACCTTCCTGGAGCGGGGTGGGCCCCAGATAAGTTGGTCCATCCCCATCTCTGGCTCTTCGCCCTGTTCATGGAGGAGATGTGGGTTCAGATGTCCCATGCTCTGGTTGGCGTTTTCCTTCTGCTCCCCAAGGCAGCCTACTGAGGGAGACTGGGACAGCAGAAATGCCAGAGTGTGCAGAGACGCTGGGTCCCAGGTCCAGTCCTGGGAATGCTTGGAGGGAGAGAAGAGAAGAGAAGAGGAAGAGGAAGAGGAAGAGGAAGAGGAAGAGGAAGAGGAAGAGGA